ACATGGAGGAAATGATCCTTGAGCTGATGGATGATTCGTAGGACATGTGATGGGGTTTCTGGCTCTTGTCATCCTGAACCCCAGTCTTGGCCTGCCACCAGTGGGACGTGTATAGTTCTGTTCACCTTTTACTAAGCTCTGTTGTTCTATCTGCCACCCTCTGGGGGCGAGGACACTTTGATGTATCTCTCTCTCTCTCTCTCTCTCTCTCTCTCTCTCCCTCTTTCTTCTTGTTCTTGTTCTTGTTCTTCTTCTTCTTCTTCTTCTTCTTCTTCTTCTTCTTCTTCTTCTTCTTCTTCTTCTTCTTCTTCTTCTTCTTCTTCTTCTTCTTCTTCTTCTTCTTCTTCTTCTTCTTCTTCTTCTTCTTCTTCTTCTTCTTCTTCTTCTTCTTCTTCTTCTTCTTCTTCTTCTTCTTCTTCTTCTTCTTCTTCTTCTTCTTCTTCTTCTTCTTCTTCTTCTTCTTCTTCTTCTTCTTCTTCTCCTTTCTCTCTCTCTCTGTCTCTTTTTCTCACTCTCTCTTTCTGTCTCTCTCCCTCTCGCTCAAATCAATAAAAGCATTTTTAGCCAAGCTGGTGTTTCCCAGTGGTTGAGGGACGACCAATGAACCTGGAGGGCAAGGTTCGATTCCTGGTCTAGGCACAGACAGGAACTGACCAATGAGCCCTAGCATGTTTGGCTCAGTGGATAGAGGTTTGGACTGTGAACTCTGGAATGTCCCAGGTTCGATTCTGATCAAGGGCACACGCTCTGGTTGTGGGTTCGATCCCCAGTAGGGGACGTGCTGGAGGCAACCAATGTAAGATTCTCTCTCATCATTGATGTTTCTCGCTCCTTTCCTGCATGAAATCACTCCTATATAATAAAAGGCTAATATGATAGGTGTCCAGTCGACCGTTCATCTGTTCAACCAATCAAAGCATAATATGTAAATGATATACTAAGGTTGCTCAACTGCTCACTATGACATGCATTGACCACCAGGGACAAGACATTCAGACTGGTAGGTCAGCTTGCTGCTGGGGTCTGGCTGATCGGGACAGAGTGAGACATGCTGGACACACCCTGGAGCCCTCCCATGGTCACTCCCCAACTGGCCAACCTCTTGTGTTCCTCCCCAGACCTAATGGAGCACCGGTGGTGTGCCTTGGCTTGGCCTATGCCCTCTCATAATATGGGACCCCTCGGGGGATGTCAGAGAGCCAGTTTCGGCCGATCTCTGCAGGCCAGGCCAAGGCACCACACTGGTGCATGTGCACCGGGCCTCTTGTAAAAATAGATTAAAGAGAGAAAGAAAAAGAAAAAGTCCTTAAGCTTGAAAATATAAGCCCAGCCCCGGTAGAAAAATCTTGAAGACATCACTGGAAACAGTTTTCATTTCAATGACCAGCGTTCTCATTGTTTGATCTCCTGAGGTTCGTCAACCAATACTACCCTCTCCAAAAAAAAACACGAATGTTTGGGGAATTACGGGTTTTTTATTCTGATCATCTCTTTCCTTTGAGGAATTACGAGGGATACCAGGGCTCGTCTCCTGAAGTCTAGAACCGGCTCTGTGTGTGGCATTAGCGTCTAGCTCTGGATGCACTTAGGTTTTTAATTGGGTTTAGCACTAAACAGCCCCAAACAAAGCCCAGCGATCATAAAATATATCTCGCATTGCACCATAGGAGGTGGCTGGGAGGGGGAGCTGGAGAAAGCCCCAGAAATCAATTTCAGGACATCCATGGTTGCATTAAAGAGATCACTGACTGCTGATTAAATTCTCCTATTGCAGGCCCTCACCGGTTTGTCTCAGTGGATAGAGCATTGGCCTGCTGACTGAATGGTCCCAGGTTCGTTTCCAGTCCAGGGCATGTACCTTGGCTATGCGCTCATCCCCAGTAGGGAGTGTGCAGTAGGCAGCTGATCGATGTTTTTCTCTAATCAATGGTTCAAACTCTCTCTCACTCTCCCTTCCTCTCTTTAAAATATCAATAAAATATATTTTTTAAAAAAAATAAATTCTCCTCTTGCAAGAAAGTGTTTGCAAATGCAAATTGAGACTTTTAAGCCTGAGGACAGGGGAGCGTGAGGGATGTGTTTCTAAAGTGTGTTTCTCACATTCAATATATTGCACTTCGGGCCCAGCCAGCGTGGTTCAGTGAATGAATGTCAACCTATCACCCAGGAGGTCACGGTTCAATTCCCAGTCAAGGGCCCATGCCCGGATTGAGGGCTCGACCCACAGTAGGGGGCGTGTGGGAGGCGGCCTATCCGTGATTCTCTCTCATCATGGATGTTTCTCTCCCTCTCGCTTTTCCTTCCTCTCTGAGTCAATAAAAACATTTAAAAAAATATTAAGCAAATGTTGCATTCAGATTAAATGCAAATTGTTTTAAAATAGTTTATTATTCTTTTGCTTTCACATACCAGGTTGGTAGTCATTTAAAGTGGACCTAGCGCCCGAGCTGGTTTGGCTCAGTGGATAGAGCATTGGCCGTTTTAAAAAATATATATTGTTATTGATTTCAGAGAGGAATGGAGAGGGAGATAGTTAGAAACATCCAAGATGAGACAAACATGGATCAGCCGCCTCCTGCAAGTCCCTCACTGGGGATCAAGTCCACAACCTGGGCATGTGCCCTTAACCGGAAATTGAACCCTGGACCCTTCAGTTCAAAGGCCCACACTCTATCCACTTAGCCAAACCAGCTAGGGCTTATTTGACCTTTTCAAAGGGTGGAAACGCCTTGAAGAAAAACGAAGCCTCTCAGCATTCATGTCACAGTAATTACATGAATTCATGTAATACATGGGAATTACGACTCACCTCACCATTCTTTCCACATTGTTCCTGTAATTGCAGACTCTGACTAATAATGAATCTTGTAGGTAAACAGAATGTTTGTATAAGAATACTAGGAACTAATTTTACAAGATATGAACTCTGACCTTCCCAGTTCTGGGAGATTTGATGACCTTCAATCTTAGAACCAGGTGGACAAAGTCTAGGATGACGCACACTGGACCGTCACCTGACCACATGCAAGATCCTTATCAGATTTGACTGTGCCTGTTGGCCCGAAGAGAAATTCCAAGCAACGCCCAGTGACCTCTTTACTCTGTTTGGCCTCTCACTCCTTATAAAAGCCTCTGCCTCCACTGAGATCTGCAGATAGGGTTTGGGATGAGCTTCCCCCATCTTCTCAGGTTGCCGGCACCTGAATGAACCTCTTTCCTTCCTCACCACCACCTGTATCACGGGACTGGTTTCTGGGGTGTGAGTCAGGAGAACCTTGTTTTTCTGGACACATTCCTAGTACATGGACTCCATGGAAGAGGTGTATCATGGTCATTTTCTTTCTTCTGCAGGTGAGAGGGGGAAGCAGAGACTGGTCACAGAGGAAAGGAGCGAAGAAC